TGGGGGGAGGGTGTGACATACAAGTTGAGCATTGCAAATCTGAAAATCTGAAATGCTCCAAAATCTGAAACATTTGAGCATCGATGGGCTACTGCAAATGAAAAATTCCACCCTGATCTTCCGACGATGGGCCACTGTCAATACTCAGGTACACAAAGATGCATATGAAATGATCTTCAAAAGCTGGGTTCAGTGAATCCCAGCTACTGGGAAGTCAGAGGCAGGAGAATCGTAAATTCAAACCCAGCCTAAGCAACTTAGCAAGACTTTTTATCAAAACAAAATAAAATGGGGCTGGGGATGTAACTAAGTGGCAGAGGGCTTGCCTAGTATGTGTGAGATCCTGGGTTCAATCCCCAGTCCTGGGAGCAGGACTTAGGTTCTGTTGTATAAGCTGTTTATGAAACATCAGTGAATTTGGATTGAATTAGAGTTGAGTCCCATTCCCAAAATGTCTCATTACCTATATGCAAATATTCCAAAATCTGAAATACAGAAGTTCCAAGCATTTTGGATGAGGGATAGTCAACCCATGCATTTAGTGGGCAGAGCTCATGAGTGCTGTTAACCATCTTGCAATGCACAGGAGATACAAAAGTTTCATATCTCTGATATGAGAATGTTGATCCATAATGGGGATTGGGGGAGGGTGCATGGGAAGAATAGAGGAACTTTAGATAGGGCAAAGATATGTGAGGGTATGGGGGTAGGAAAGATGGAGGAATGAGTTGGGCATCATTACCGTAAATACATGTATGAAGACACGAATATGTGACTCTATTTTGTGTACAACCAGAGACATGAAAAATTGTGGTCTATATGTGTAATATGAATTGAAACGCATTCTGCTGTCATATGTAATAAATTAGAATTTTAAAAAAAGTCACTTGAAATCATGCCTGAAAAATGTGTTATGTTCTCATAATTTTAAAATTCTTTGTGTTTGCAGTTGATGTGCATTGTTTGTATAAGAAAATGAGATCAAAAAGTCTTAGAAGAAGGTTACAGAAATATAAGTTCTGAGGCTAATTCTTTGCATTATGTGGGTTAGAAAGTTCCTTATTTATTTGTACTTTAAATCTCATCTTTTCCTTTAAAACATCTCATCTCATGGGGTCTAGCATAAATCCATGCTGAAATGTTACATTTAAAAATGTCAACATAATATTAAATGTTTGTGTCATTTTTTCTAGATATCATTCAATGAGTTTTTTTCTAGATATAATTTTCCGATTCAAATGAAGCTGATTAAAAATAAATTAAAAGTAAACATGCAAAAAACAAAAACAAAAAATGGCCAGGGATGTGGCTCAGTGGTTGAGTGCCCCTGGTACCAAAAAACAAAAACAAAAAACCCCTAAACAGTTATAATAACGACAAAAATGAAATTAAACCTTAAAAATAAGCAAAGCAACACAGACTGCCACTGGACAGTGGAGAATGTCTAAGGCCTTGCCAGTCATTACACTGGTGAACAAACATGGCTGGGGAGGTGGCCCAGTGTGGGGACGATGTGTGGGTTCCAGGGCAGCCTGGCCTGCAGTCGACGCCAGCTCTGCCCGTCTGGCTGCATGCTTTTGAGCAAATCCCTTGAACCCAGTGCGTGTGAGTTTTCACGCTTGCAAAATGGGGCCAGTAATTCCTGCCTAACTTGGATTGTTGTGAGCCATGAGGGAAAGGAGCTGTGAAGTGCCAAGTTCACAGCTGGTCTCCGCGCCTTTCTCTTTCCCTCTGTCGTTGCATGTTGCTTTTTCCTGAGTTCTTTCTGAGAATAAACATTCTCTGACTTCATCTGAACGTAGGAAGCATAAACGAATCTTTCAACTTGGAGAACAAATGACAGTAGCCCCCCTGTGCTAACCAGGCAAACCGTTTTGGTTACCCAGACAGAAAGGAGGCTGTTTGCTCTTCCTTGTTCACAGGATGGGAGGCATACTGGGCGTGAGTTGCTCTGACAGATGAGACATATAGATACATATACAGTGCACACGTGCCTGCTAGTCATCGTGATTCTTCAAAACGGCTTCTTCCAAGACTTTTCTGCCTTAGCTGGCAGAAAATCCCAGCTACTCAGGAGGCTGAGGCAGGAGGATCACGAGTTCAAGGTTAGCCTGGGTAACATAGTTGTTGTCTCAAAAAAATTTTTTTTTTAAAAAATTCCTGCCCTTTCTTAAGTAGCCACTCTGGGGCCTCCTGTTTGGTAAGTGCTCTTTCACATCATTTTGAACCTCCACTCTTGGAGACCCTGTTTTAGTGCCTGTGGCTGCCCTCTCTTGGTCCCCCCTCTCCCATGCAAGCTGCATTCTGTTGCTTTTGGGGTGGATTCTCCACCTCTCTGCATGTCATCTTCCAGAAATCCTTTTCTAATTCTCTGTTCTCATAAAGATGTTGCAAATTCCATGAGAGGAAGGCTGTGATTTTTTTGGGGACTTTCCAGGGGCCAGCGATGCCTCGGTCCACCTGTTGGAAATCTCGTCATTCTTTCCTAAGTGTAGAGGGGGTCCTCAACACGGGCAGGCCCAGGGGGGCACTGGGATGATTAAGATGGAGGGGAGCCGGCATGTGGGGAAGTGGGACCATTCCATCTCCATTTCTGCTTCCATGTTCAGCTCCCCACACTGAGGAAATGCCAAATTCCTCAATAAAACGGACACTCAGGGCTGGGGCTGCAGCTCAGTGGCAGAGCACTTGCCTAGCGTGTGTGAGGCACTGGGTTTGATCCTCAGCACCACAAAAAATAAACAGATAAAATAAAGGCATTCTGTCCATCTACAACTACAAAAATAAAATAAAATAAAATGAACAAAACTGCCACTCAGTGCCCCAGGGTTGACACTGTGAGAAACACCCCCAGATGGAACAGCGTGAGGGAGGTGCAGATCCATGCATCCTGTGTCGCAGCCCCCTGAGATGTGCAGCCAGCAGAGCCACAGCAGGCGGAAGCCCCCCCGTGTCCTAATGTGTCAGTCCCGTCCCTCCCGCTGAAGGGAATGAGGCCTAACATAGTTAGGCCCCCTGGGGTGCGATGCCCCTTACCTGGGTGACTTCACTCCTTCCTAACTACTGGTTGTCGGGTGGGTCAGGGAAACACGTCTTCTCCACTCGTGGTTTCTGAGAGGGTTTGGCATACCTGTCCTTGTCCCACTCCTCCCTGCGGCCCAGTGACGGGGTGGGCGGCAATGTCCACAGTGACTGGTGGCATGAGCTCATCTGTCGTGGGTTCTAAGCGTCATGGCTTTCTTCCCTCTGGTTTTGGTCCAGTGGGAGGTCACACCCTGGGCACGGTACCTGCCTCCTGGACTCATTTTCCTGTGGATGCTGATATGGTTTGAGTATGGCTTTTCCCCTCTGAAACTCGTGTTGAAAGTTAATCCCTCTTATAAGACTTTAAGAGGTGGGAACCAGGTGAGGCGTTTAAAAGGTGACAAGGCTTCTGCCATCCTGACTGGATTAACGCATTCATGTATTAATGTGTTAATAAGCTTGTGGGTTATCTTGGCAGTGGGTCTGTTAGGAAAGCCAGTTTGGTAGTTCTCTTGTTCCCTCCTCTATCAGCCTGCCATTCCTTGTTCTGCCTTGAGACTCTGCCAGTAAGAAAGCCATCACCTGGTGCAGCACGTGGACTTTGGACCAGAACCATGAGCCATAATAAATCTTTCTTTATAACCTATCCAGTCTGTGGTATTGTGAGTGGTTGGCAATTTTAACTGGCAGCCTATTTTGACTCTTGCACTTAGCAATATTGTTCCCTGTGGCCTGTGCCAGTTGCCAAAATGACATTTCATTTTGTCCCGTGTTTTTATTTCCTAAAGGGTATAAAAGTTGGGTGAAGAAGAGGGGTAATATTTATTGCCCATCCTTTGGAGACTCAAGAGGAACTCTATGACACAAGTGTGACTCCAAATCTATAGCTGAAGAAGCTGAGTCTCAGAGAGATTAAGTAATTTGCCCCTCCAATAGGAGACTGGGGCTGGATCTGACCCAGGCCTCTTGCTCCTGATCCTGTAGTGCCACATCGAGTACAATCACAGAGACGACTACACGTCTAGAGTCCATCCACTGGACTCCACATCTCCAAGGTCTCCCCAGAGGGTGCGTCCCTAAGACATTTAGCCTCTTAATATGCGCACGGGAGGCCAACCTGCCTGTCTGTCCCACTGGGGCCTGTCATCTAAGTCATGGTTACCCACCTCTTCTGGGGGACTGACACCAGGATCAAGTCCCATTCTCAAAGGGGAACTTACCTACTAAAAATGTGAGCTTGTTTCTTGCAGGTCTTGTATTTCAGTGCAACACAGCACGCACCAGTGAGTATTCCAAATTGTAAGTTACAAAACCAGCTCAAGGAGCTTTAGCGAATGGGGAGTGGGGTTTGAAGGGCAGTGGCCTATCCTGTGGAGTCTAAGGGCTGCAGGGGCTCTGCACCAGTGTGTGTGTGTGTGAAGCCAAGAGGTGTGAAGCTCCAGGGAATCAGCAGGGCTGTCTCTGCCTCATCTCTGCTGTCCTCTCCCCGTCCACATGGTGAGAGGTGGCTGCGCTGCATCTCCCAAGTTCATGTCAAGTTTCTGCAGGCAGCCCAGACAGAAATAACACCTCTCACAGCTAATTCCGAGTTTCTAAGAGAAGATATTTGACCCACTTTGTGTCTGTTGTCCATTCTGTTCCCATCTCTGGTTAGAAGTGTGTGTGTGTTGTTAGGAGCACTGACTCCTGTTGGGAGACAGAAGTGGGTGCTCTCATGAGATAGGCTGACACCGCAGAGTGCCTCCTGCTAAGAAGACATTGCCAAAGGCAGGCGTGGATACTGCACTGCAGTGTGTGCATTTCATGAAGAGGGTGTGTTGTCGTCCCACACCTCATTTCAGTACGAGAACCTCACCCTGTGTCTTTCAGGATCAGAATGCTGGAGTGATTTTTGCTTCCCTCTCATTCTTTATTCTGTGTTACCAGGTCTGTCATTTGGAAATGGCTTTTGGATCCTTCTGTCCTCTATATCCAGTTCCTACTGCCACTGCTGTCAGCCCCTAGTCCCCTCTTCTAAGTGCTCTGCTCTTGAAGCCGTCCTGTGTCCACCAGTTGCTCTGTAGTTCACACGCTCAGTTCCCTGCTCAGCAGCTCCCTGTCCCCCCACAGGAAGCTCCACTGCACAGCCTCCTGGCTTCCGTCCTCCGGCAGAGACATGCCTCCTTCTGAATCTCCTCCTCTTCCCCTTCCAGTCCTACTTCATCTCCTTGGTAATTTATGAATTCAGACTCAGAAGAGCTCCTTGCACTTATGCCTTAAGCCCAATGCTGAACACACTGCAATTAAGAATCCAGGTCTGGCGCTTTCTGCACCCGTGAGGTATCCACCAGTTTCTAGAATGATTGACATAAAGCAGTCAGTAGTTATTATTTACTCGCTCCCTTTCAAAAGTGTTGGAAGAACACGGCATTTCGAATCCTCGGGGCAGCCCTAGGGTGGACGCACATTTAGCTCTACTTTGTGGATGATGAAACTGAAGTGTGGAGATGCTGCTGACTTGGGTCTCACCACCAGAAGAGGTGGGCCTGGAAGACAAAGGAATGAATGATTTTCTTGGTCATCCGTAACTGGGGGCTACTTTGTCAACCTGCCCTTATTTATGGGAAGCTGCCCTGAACCAGGATTTGGGGCACACTTGCCCGTGTACCAGGCCCATGGTCCTCCCACGGTTGGGTATCTCCATCTTCCCTGTCCTAACACTGAACTTCCCTCTTAGCTCATTCCAACCCAAAGCCCTCTTGAGTTCTCTTGAACCTTGCCATTCTCTTGCTCTTGTAGCCAGTCTAGCACTTAGTTCTGCAGGTGTTCTACAGGCTGGTCTCCTGAACAAAGAAGACCAACAAGACTCTCTCCCAGGCAGGGACTCTGGCTCAGGCTGGCCCACAACATGCCTCTACTTCAAGCTGCTCACTCCTCCCAAGACATATTTAAAACCTGGTCATATATCCTGTATGTGCTGTATTTATTACATGTTTGCACATGAATGAAATGCTCATTTAAAAAATAAAGAAACATGCTGGCTGGGTGGCCTGCACCTGTGGTCCTAGCACTTGGGAGGCTGAGGTGGGAGAATCACTGGAGCCCAGGAATTAAGAGATCAGCTTAAGCAACGTAGGGAGGCAAACAAACAAACCAAACCAAGTACATTGTCACTAAACTGTTTAAGAGAGGCGAAGTCATGTGAGTTCAGTAGGTAATTAGCAAAATGCTTTAAGAATATATAATGAACACACATTTGAGACATACCTCTAAACAAAGAAAATAAAGTTTTGTCTGGTGGGAGGTTTGTATTCAGTACTACTGATGTTTCTGGGAAAGCCTGTCATGCTGGTAAGGAAGAGAATAAAGATTGTTTCCAGGAAGTGGTGTTCCTGTGGATCCAGCTTCTTACACAAGTCCTGCTGCCTCAGGGAGACGCAGCCCAATGTCCCATGGTTCTCGTGGGTCATGCTGTGGTCAGCACAGACACCATTAGTCTGACCCCAGCACCTGCAATTCCAGTTTTATTGGTGTTGACAATTCTTGTGATCTAATTTCAAGATAGCAAGACCCCAATTTTGCTGTCACCACTATGGTGGCAATGGTCCCCAGGTAAAAGGATAGATTCATCACCAAGAGTTCTCCTGTTTCTCTCCTCAGGGTCTTTGACTTGAAACTGTGCCTTAGAGCAAAAGCAACAACATCCATCCCACTCCCCACATGGATATCAACACAAGAAGCAATTTTCACAAATGGCTCCCTGAAGCACTGAATAAGGGCTATGGAAAGATTGAAAAGTGAAGGTCTTATTGTTTCCAAGAGAGGAGGGAAGCCACTGTCCTTATAGATTCTGGGAAAATGCTCAGAAAACAACACAAACCCAAACAAAAAAGACTGCTATATCATCAGTCATTGCTCTCTCTACCGGGTTTTTCTAGATCCTTTTGGAACTACTGGTAAACACCAGATTAGCTGTGAGGCAGCTGCCCACTTGAGATGTATGGAGCATTTCCTGGGGTCTGTTCCTTTTTTGTGTGATAATAAATATCTGCATGAGTTTTGCCAGCTTCATGTATGTGGTCTCAGCAAATGTGCCTATTCCATGATCCACTGCTGTTGATAACCTAGACTCAGTATCTAAGATGCTCCTTAATCTAGAAAGCAAGCAGCAGTCTTTAGTCAGCTGCCCCTTGGTATCCTCAGGGGATCTGTTCCAGGAAGCCCTGTGGATGACAAAATCAGTGATGCTCAAAGTCATTATGTAAAATGGTAGAATGTTTGCATAGAACCTATACACGTCTTTCTGTAGAATTCAGCCGTCTTATATGACTTGCAATAACTAATAATGCATACCACAAGTACGTTTAGTATAAACACGATTTTCCCCAATTATTTTTTGGTTGCTAAAATCCATGGATGTGACACCTACAGAGATGGAGGGCTTACTCTATAAAGAAGATACTATACCTAACAACAAAAAAGTGGCTTATTTTGTTATAATATATCCTTGCACTTTCTACCAACTCAACCTTTACTGTGTATTTTATTTTCATTTTTAGAACCATGACGCCAACATGTAGACCAACTTTCCTCAGCCTCTTAAAAAAATCCGATGACTCCTTTTGCTAAATATAGAAAAATTTCTCCCTACATCAAGCCCCCAGTCAAACTTGTTACATATAAAAGACTTTTCCTATAGAAAGATTTTTTTTTTCCTACTGAGAACTACAGGTAAACATTTCTTCATAATGGTCTTGAGAAGTTATTTTTGTTGGTACTTTAAGTGGTAAGATGTTGGAGCGTAGCTCTGTGATTGAGTAATTGCCTAGCATGCCCAAGGCCTTGGGTTCAATCACCAGCACTGGAAAAACAAAAACAATCAAGCGAAATATTCTCAACCTTTGGAAATAAAATCAAAGGGCTGGAGATGTTGGGTGAGGCTGAGGAGGGAGGGGGTTGTGTGACTGCTACTGGGTGGCAGGAGAGTGTACATAAAACAGTCTATGCCAATCCATGTTATCCTTTCAGTTCCACAATCTAGAGAACAAGAGCATCAAAGCAACATAGCCATGGGCTTGGCTATATGAGGCGTCCCAAGTCCTAATGCATCATGGCTTGTCTAGTCCAATGCCATCTTTGAAGTTCTAGAAAGGGTTCTGCTTGGCCAATGGTTTTCACCTCAGGAGAGGTGAACTTCTGGTGGTATTTCTCAGTTGCTAATATCTGACACTGAAATTGATCTCAACCCCAGCCTGAACCCCTTCGTTAGAACAGTCATACAAACTGTAGAGTTCTGGAGGCTGATGGTGATGGATGGTGCAACCCCCACTCTGCTCCAAACCCTGCAGCTGGGGCCCAGTCTCCATGGACATGGCACTTTATCCAATACTCTAGACTCAAACTCGATCCTCTGAATTTGGGGAGTTCCCAGTTTGAGGCTCTGCCTGCAGACTTACACCTGTAGTGAAGGATCAAGACCTGTTTGGGCTTTTTCTGCCATAGAATTCTCCTTCCTATCTTTTTTGCAGATTCCAAATGTGTAATTTTACCTAAGTTATAGACTTGCTCGGTATTACCAAGGCTTTGGGCAAGGTTCAAACCCATTCATGTGGTTTCATTCACACAAAAGCAACCTGCTGTTAAAGGACTGCAGAAAAATGTTAAGTTTGCTCTGCCTGCCTTTGGAACCAAACCTGGAGGGTAAGTCTCCTCGAGTTGTTCTTCTGCTTGCAATGGGATACTTTTAGAGGAGAAGGTTGGAGTCTGGAGTTAGGTTTCCAAGTAGCAGCTGTTCAAGGAAGTATAAATCAGAGGTGCCATCCACTAACAACACTGCTGGATGAGGTCGTTGGTGAATGACTTTGATGCAGAGTGGAAGAATGGCACCAGGGCCACATCTACCATGGCTAGGGACTCTGGCTCACGACGTTCAGCTGAAGGGGAGATCACATTTCCCTCGTTGTCTGTGATCACCCACAGCTATTCTGTTGCAGGTCCACTCTGCTGCAGCTCCCAGGAGGGAACTGTTCAGAGTAACAGATTCGGGACCTACAGTGAGCTTTGTTAGTCTCACGGGTGCACGAGACTGTATCCTGAAAAAGTTGTGTTGCCAAATAGGAGGGCTAAATGCTTCATCTATTTTGAATGCATCATCATAAATATAATCTGCACTGTATGGATGCCACGGACACGTGTAACTTACAAGGTGATGAGGGTGACAAGGGTATAGGCCCAGAACTGTTCATGCTTGACTCATGACTGAGAATTAATAAAAGGGTGACTCCATCACAGCTATGGCAGGAACTGTAATACCTACATGAACCTGTTCAAACCATAACACATGAATCTTGAATCCACTTAACACTGTACACACAGGAGAATGAGAAATCACTCTAACAGGGTCTGGGCCCTGCCTAAGCTCCCCAGAAGTCAAGGAAGTTATTTAATATGCTTCTTCTAGATGTGTGGAAAGAATGTATTTTCCACAATAAAAGCGTACAAATGATAATCTTTATTATCTGTAACATACTCAAGGAGCAGGGGTTCCTCAAACTGATTAAACACTGAAAACATTAGATCTTCAAGAATATATATTAACTCGGTCTCACCTCTCATTTACCAAGTTAGAATCTACAGGAAGGGAAGTGGTGAGAGATCTGTCTGTCTGATTCTGACGGTCAGCCGGAGCTGTGCCCAGTGCTATTAGCAGTGGTTCCCAGACACTGGGGCCTGTCAGAGGTAAGATTCTGATGCACAAGGGGTGGGGAGGGGTTCGCTGCCAATCCTCACACCCACTCTGGCTGGCTGTAAAGTACTCACCTCTGGGCGTATCCTGTTCCTCACCACCCTGACCTGCTCTCTACTCCCCATACAAAGGGAGTTTTCAGCTCAAGGTGGGACCTGCTCAGGGGTCTCCACTTCTTCAGGCCTTGCCTCAGCAGGAAGTGAATGTGCATTACCTTAATGGGTTTATTTGGCACAAAAGAAAAAGGGAGACACTTTGGTTTATTGTCAAGGACCAAGAAAAACAAAGTCTGTATATGTTCTCTACAAATGGTGACGAGCTACAAGATGGGATGGGAGGGAGAGGAGACACCATAATACATAGCATTATTCTGAGTGACCTCTGGCCCTTCATTCTAACACTTGAACTGAGAAGGCACAGCCATCCTTTTCCACCAAGGCTGTAACAGAATGGAAAGGTGACTCAGTTTTTCAGCTCCCATAGGGTAGGCAAAGTGAGAGGCTATTTTCAGCCTGCACACAGAATGGATGCTGAAGGTGGTCCATGGCCCCGTCGGTGGCTGGTTCCCAGCTCCCTAGGTCCTTGGCTTCTCTTGATTCTCAATGACAAGCTTGTCAGTTGAATAGAGTTGGCCAATCTGAACCTGAAGGCAAAGAAAAAGCACAGGTCAAGAACCATAGGACTCTCCCAGGTGTGAACTATCAGAAAAAGCCATTTGTAACATTTAAGTGCAAATACATTAGCCTCTGCCTTAAATGGCAGGGTATTCCCTCCTGGAAAGTGTACTGTGGGGCAAAGCGGACCTCCAGAAGTGCCTCCTTGCACCATCCACTTCCCACACCCCCTCCCTGTGAGAACTCAGAGACCCACACGGCCATTCCTGAAAGGGCCCCAGGGCCAGCCTGGGTCTGCCCACCAGGCTCCCTGGTTGCGTCTGGAGGCTGAGCCCTCCACATGTGCGCACAGGTTCCCCACCTGATGGACTTCCTTCAAGGCTGCCTCTTCCACCCAGAAAGGCTTTCAGCATGAAGCTGAGGTGTGCCTTTTCCATGCTGGGGTGGAAAAGGTGTTGCATTCTGGGAAATGCAAACACTTAGCTGCTGACCCTGGTGGGCAGAGGGCAGTCTGTGTTCACACATCTCCTGCCGCCCGTCTTTCTTGCCTTCTATTTTAAGTGTCCTTTTCAATTAAGTGTCTCTGTTAGATTAAGTGCTCCCACTGTCTCAGATGCATGCCCAGCCAGAACCCAGGGCTATGGCCTTTCCTTCCCCCAGAACAAAGGGTCTTTGTCACAATTTTTCTTTAAAGGCAGCTCTGAGAGATGCTTCTTCTTCTTCTTCTTCTTCTTCTTCTTCTTCTTCTTTTTTTTAAAGGAATAAGTAGAACTGGCGAAGAAAGGGAGCATTAAGAAATCTGTCTGGAATTCAGAGTAGGACCCTCTCTATGGGCAATCCGGGGCACATAACAACTGCTTTTTAAAAATACAGGCGAGAGCTCTCTATATGTGTAGTATGAATTGTAATCATTCTGCTATCATATATAACAAATTAGAATAAAAAAATACAAGTGAGAGAAAACTCCCAAAGGCCAGAGCTGCCACCCAGAGTGGCCGGGGGTCAGAATCAAGAATCCTCTGTGCTATTCCCCACAGAAGGGGACTATCAGGAGGTGCTTGGCTGAGTTTACCACCAAGTTTTGAAGTGGCTAGCAGCAGACACAAGTCTATGAGATGGCATGTGGAAGAACCCTTTAACAGAGTTGTTCCAAGACAGAGTGGAACAAGAAGACTGGGCATGCAGCGCAGTTGTAGAGCGCCTCCCTAGCATGCACAAAGCCCTGTGCTCAATCCCCCGTGGGTTAAAAATAATAATAATAATAATAAAAAGGAAAGGGCTGCCTCAAGAAGCAGTAAATTCTGTCCTTGTGAGAAGCATCAAGCAAGGATCGAGAAGGAATTTATATGCCAGACAGGTTTGAACCAGCGGAGCCCCTTCCAGCTCTCAGCTTCTCTGACTGAAGGCACTGTGCACGTCTCCAGGGTCCACCTCAGGTGCATCTAATAACAGCCATGTGGTCTCTCAATGTCCTAGTGACCTACATCTTCTACCTCTGTCACACTGGAACAAAGGGTGGAGCATCAGAAAGACACCCAGCAAGACAGTCAGGACAAGTGGGCTATAATGTGGCTTTGCTACTTGTTGGGTGACACTCTGTTCCTTCTTGTCTCATATGAACACTGCAGCATCCTCATCTGTAAATTCAGAGGCCTGAATATTCCCAGGTAATCTTTACAGTCTCTTGCTGCTCCAACAGTGTTTGGGTGCTC